CCCACTTCTGTATCCCAATCTTCTTCACCCACCTCTGTGGTTACCTTCTCCCATAATCACACTTCCTGTATCTAATCCTTTTGCTGTCCAGCCGGCACAGACGTCCCACTTCAAAAACGCCCTTCAGTCTAATCTCTCTCGACTTCATTCTTTCGAGTTCTCCTCTTTACAAGCCCTCAGTATCTCGACCGAGACCTCGTACGACACCTCCTTGCCCAATCGTCTCCTACTTTCAAAAGAAAGTCAAAAAAAGGTCCGGTACACCTCCTACCCATCTACACTCCTCATTTTAACCCTCCTGTGGTCTGTCCCTAGTTCATCCCCCTCTCACTGGTTCATTACAAAAGCAGAGGTTCACACCTCCTCCCTCGTAATGTACCTTCCTCCCCTGTTCCCCACCCAAGTTTCTTCCTCTTCTGCCACCTCTCCCAGTTCCTGTCTCTCATTCCCCTGCCACGCTTTCTCCAGGTTCCCTCCAACCCTTTCATCTTCGTCGGCCACCCCCTACCTTGGTAAACACATTCATCATATCTTTGGTTTAATTTCTTTTATATACAGTACGCTATTATAATAATTATATGTAATAATAAAATGTGTAGCTGTTGGTGAATTACAAAGCATTTTTTTGTGGCATTCAGGTTTCTGCATTCCCCCAATTCCCCTCGAATATAAATAATTTTCTTTAATTGCGTGTTAAGCTGAACAAATATTCCCCTGGCCCCTTACCCCTCAGTGCATGAATGTTGAGCACTACTATGATAGGCCAAGATATCAAGGGGAAAAAAATTTGTGATTCTGATGTCATTGCAAGTCTTTGTGTCCATTGTGTAGTCATGTTACTTATTAGAGTAGCATATGTCCCTGCTCTATGTATTTCTATCTGCTTACCACTATGTTGCTTTATACTTGTCCTTCTCGAAAGTTATTTGATCTATCTTCCCTTCCTTTCATATTTCATTTATTACACTTATGGTATGCATTGTTTCTTCTCAAGTACACCTAGATGAACCCATTGCCATATTTTTATATCTTTAATTTTTCTGCCTATGCTCTCTATACTTTAGTTAAATTTACAGTCAAGGGCAATTCCTTGATGCTAGTGAGAGGCACCCCCTTCCTTTGTGTGAACCTAATTTCCTCCCATTCCCCATGGTGCTGGATGATCCCCATGGGTTTTGTGCTTCTCCAAGGTAAAGTAAAAATTACTTTAGATACAGTATTATGAATTGTAGTTTTCAGTCTCATATATGAAAAGTAGACTGGACTATGTCATCCCACTGTTGTGAGGTAAGCACATGCATGCTTGCTTCACAAGGCTTTTCCTGAGACATGTGCCTATTATCTTCAGCTGAGAACACTTATGAGCATACACTAACAGATTGCTCACAATTAGCAACACTGCATTCTTTCCTGTCTTGTTTGCTTTCTTCAGCTGTCACATCAGTTTGCTGCAAGACATTATGGTGAGAGGGAATACAAGTAATATTTCTGCTTTAAATATTTTTTGCAAGAAAAAACAGAGACGGCAGTAACCATTTCATGGTATGAAGACATTTCTTTCTTACTGTGTGTACTGTACCGCCAGTGCATTTGTTCCACTAGTACAAATACAGTGGAACCCCAGATTTCATCCTTTGGGGTATAGATGGCGAGGAGGGGAGAGGGAGGAGGAGCAGAGGTTATTGTTTGGAAGGGGAATTTCCCTCCATAAAGACTTCAGGTATCAAAGCCCTATCTGGGGTTACTTCCCTTCTTTGTCTTTTACTGGCGCTGGACCCCTGTCGCACTGAAATTCTGTCCAGAGAGCTCTGTTTCTGCCGTCTTTAAGATTTGCCTAAAATAGGACAAGATATTGTCACTGAACATGTTGCAGATACTACTATTATCAGCTTGGTCAGAGTGATATTTTTCCACAAAAGTCTGCACCTCATTCCACTTTGCACAAATGTCCTTAACCATTTCAGGGTCGACAGGCCCTCTCCCAGACTTGTTCTCAGGGTCAACAAATTTAAAAAAAAAAAAAAAAAAAAAAATTCTTAGGAAAAGATAGAGAATCTTTTCCCGATCATAATGACACCAAAAGTATGAAATTTGATGGAAAACTTACGGAATTATGCTCTCGCGAAGTTAGCAGTCTTGACGATGTTTATGCAACGGCAATTTTGCCCACTTTGAGCCCTATTTTCGGCCAATTCCTGTATACTAGTCGACAAAAATCATAACTATTTTGCTAGAAATCCATTTTTTCTATCGAATGAGTACAAGAAACCACCCATTTACCAATTTCAACTATCCAATAAAGTGCTCAGAATTCAGCAATTTTGCCAATTTCACACAAATTTCAAAAGATGCCAATTTCCAAATAGGATCCAGGATAAACAAGAAAGACATTCCTGGCACTAAAATAACATTTCCTCTGTTCATTAGTAAAGTCGTCATGCCCCTCTTACATTCTTTTGCTTTCCACTTTGAATTTTTATTCTCACAAAAAATAGAAGATTTACAGTTATGCAGACTACTGCATTAGTGTAGAAATGGTATAAATAATATCAGTTCACTTGTGAAAGAATATTAGACTCGCCAGTTGACATGTATTGGACGCATAGCATGATTTGTTTACTTCCATTCTATAAAATGAGACCAGGAAGACTAGAATACCATCATAAATACCATACGAAAATACAGTGCAAAGTCGCTGTTTTAAACCAAAAACACTGTCAAAGTTTTTTTTTCTCATTACGCACTGTGTGCTGCAGGATTTTTTTTATACTGCGCACACTGATCACATAGACCCATTCTTTCATATGTAGGCCTGCCAGCTTTCTCTCACTAGATTTGAGGGCACTAGAATTTAGGCGTACTAGTACATCAAAAACCCTGGTGCGCAAGCCGTACTAGTACGTCAGAAACCCTGAGAGGGTTAATCACTGAAGAGGGCACCTTCTTCCCTCTTGCCATACATCCTGGTGAGCTCAGCCACACATACGCCACTTTCGTATTTTTCTACAATCTCTTTTTTGAATTCTATCATGTTTCTCACCTTCTTTACCAGAGGGCTGGCACTAGGAACTTTCTTTGGGCCCATGGTGGCTTATTTTGCAGTTGCAAATTTTTCGGATGAATGCTCACTCAACCAGTGACAGAGCCAGACCGAGACACATACCCCGGGCGGACGGATGCGTCTGATATGGACAACTTCTAGGACGAGGTACGAAATCCGGAGCAAAATTTCGCCAAAAAAAAAAAGTGGTCGAAATTTGAATCGTACAAGATCCAGTGCAGACGAAATCCGGGGTTCCACTGTACAGTGGACCCCTGCATAACGATTACCTCCGAATGCGACCAATTATGTAAGTGTATTTATGTAAGTGCGTTTGTACGTGTATGTTTGGGGGTCTGAAATGGACTAATCTACTTCACAATATTCCTTATGGGAACAAATTCGGTCAGTACTGGCACCTGAACATACTTCTGGAGTGAAAAAATATCGTTAACCGGGGGTCCACTGTACAGTGAATTTTCACATAAAGCGTGAGCTACGTTTCTGAAATTGATGCTTTGTGTAATTTCGCATTATGTAATATAAATAATTAATGGGAAAATAGGGTTATGTTTTTGACACCTCTACAAAAAATTTAAGTGCTTAGTATTTTTTAAAAAATAATTATATTTGATACTTTACAGTGTAGATGTTATTGGCCTGTCATGTCACACTTGCAAGCACTATAACTACCATCACCACTCTTTCATCATCATCCATGGCTAATATTACATAATGTAGCTTCTATCACTGTTGTGCATAGGGTTCAAGGAAACATTATGAAGACATTTGGAGAAATACTCGGTGGTTTATTAGGTAAATGGTTGTGACATCTGCCAGCATATCTTATCAGCTTTGTGTCTACATTGTGACTTCCCATGCCAGCAGTCATGCTGGGTTTGAAGTCAGCATTACTGACTGTTCAATGACTCAAGCTAGCAATTACAATCCCATACCATGATACTGGTAATGGTTTCCTACTTACATATGTAACATACCATTGACATCACTGCCACCACTTAACCACTATGTAACACTATCACCAACTTCCACCATCCCATGAGAAAGGCTCAGCTGTTGAAACAGTTTAGCATCCACAGAAAATAGGCAGTGCATTTATTCTAGAGAAAATAGTTATGTCTTAATACTGCAAAACATCTTTTTCTTTTTTTTTAAATTCTGGTTACCAATGCATGGAGACCTGGCCATTGGTGGAGAGAGTTACTGACCTTAGCCAAAGTGGATGGCATAAGGTGACCCAGTGTAGGGGAGGAGAGAAGTCTTAATTAAGTGATCTCTACTGTATGTGAATAAAATTCACAACTTTTGTAGCTTTTTAACAAATTATATACTTTATATTCATGGCAAGCACTAAACCAACTTTTTTACTGACGCAATCTTGCACTTGGCAATACTCCTGTTTCAAATGCACCAATTCTACTTCTATTTCTATTGAAGTACTATATCTCAGATGGAGATGTCACCAAGTCCAGCTTACCCTTCATTAACCTCATATGGACATAGAATGACTTAGAGAATCACAAACTTTATTGCCTAATGCAGCCAAAAATATTTTAACATAGAATAATGTTTTAAAAACTAAATTGCCATTTTTAAATTCTAAAATCTGTCTTACTTCTCTTGTATTTGTCCATATTCTATGACTGGTTAAGCCTTTGCTCTGTTGATATAAATATGATGAGTAGGTTCATGTCAGATTCAGTTTCACAAATCGATACGAAGATGTGTGATATAAAACCTTCATACTTTTCTCATAATTGAATTGTGTGAAACAGTATTAGTATTCAAGGAGTACATCATCTTTACAGTACTATTAATGCTAGAATATTAATAGTTGTGGGTCACCTAAGAATGTAGTCAAGTTTTGCTACCAGTTTTGTGTACATTGCAAGTCTGACTATAAAAAACATAAATTTAATAAGAAATATTTTTTTTGCAGTGTTGTGTCCATCATGAGCCTGTGCTGTATCAGGAACAGCTGGGTACACGGGTGGTTGGTAGCTGGGAAAGGATCATTGCTGATCATCCTTCAAACAGCTGAAGCCAAGACATTCCGCACACACTCCTTTATGTAGAGTTTACAATTAACTGTACATACATTGCATGTCATTATTTTAAGGTGATGTACCATAACGGCATTGTCCATTTGTTTATATATATTTTTTTTAGATTATGACTCAGATTTTGAATCTTCTAATCATAATGGAGTGATTTATGAAACAGACTATACAATATAGGAATTCCTATAGCAGCTAGTCAACTGTGCCAATGGCCTAATGTATAAAGAGATATCAGTTGGAAAATGAGAGGTTTAATAAGAATCCATTTTGCTAATACAAATACTATACTTCAATATCATTAAACAAGGAAATGACTAAACTAGTCACAGATAATTAATACATTAATAGAGGGATGTGTATGTTATTGTATTTTTCTGATGTTCTATTTCTATACCCTTTATTCTTGTAAATTTTTCTGTGATTACATATCTCAAAATATACTTAAGGTACCTTTCAATAGGCCACAAGATGTGTAGATTAATTAATATGTAAATTACTGTTAGTGAGATAAAACTGAGTAAGGAGTAAATACTAAAACAGCTTGATATTGGAAGACCAAAGAGCCTTTTCCACTTGTATCTATTATTTTCTTTACTGCTGAACTTTCTAAGCAAAATACTTATTTTAGAAAAATAAAATGAGGATATTCAAGATATAAACCTTAATATCTAATTAATGCTTTGGAATCCTTAAAAAATACTCGTATTGTCACAAAATACCCTCCAGAAGTTAATAATGTATTCATTTATACTTCAAGTCTATTGTCAAGAATCTGCCATGCTTGAAGTGCAAAGATCTGCTGACAATTGTATTTCGCTATTTACTGAAGCCCAAGTGCAATTGCTGTATTAATGTGTGTGTGTGTGTGTGTATGCTCGTGCACGCACATGTGCGTGGCTTGATCTATTGTATATGTAAGGTAAATGAATTGAAAAACTTTTGCTGCCACGATTCAGAAGCTTAGGGTAGGTTTAAAAAAACATGCTAGAACATGTTCAACTCCCACTGGCACCTTCAACTTTTCAGTAGCTATATACCATGAACAAACAAGCTTCAGCTATTATGCCCTGTTGTATTCCAGAATTTTGTGAGGCTTATTTCTTGCAAAGTCTTGATGGGTAGTGTTCTTCAAAAGTGCAGTTTACATGAACTGAAACATGTAGATTAAACTTGCTGTACTACCCATCTACACCACCACTTACTTGACCTTCATTGTCCCACATCCAGTGCCTTCCTGGGTAATTAAAAATACAACAAATATACCTTAATGGTGTGTCTGAACTTGAAGATTACCCTTGGAGGATGGGACATATAATCTACTTATATACATTGCTTTGTTCCATTGTGAATGTTAGATATGCATGCACTGCCGTTCAAGGATTCTGTTGTCAATAATGGAATATGATGAAAAAAAGTTTTATTGTACTTTTCCATAAACATTCTGTCTATATGAAAATGTATTGATAAGATTTGAATTTATATTGTCACTGCCATTATTTGATAACCAGTTAATGTGGCAGGAGGAGGAATATAGCTGGGCAGTTTTCAACTTCATATTACACAGCTTCTCCACAAATATGCAAAAGATAAATTTTCCTCTTTATATTTCTAAGGAATCCTGGGCAGTTTTGACAAAGTAGTGGTGTACATAATTCTTCAATGTGTATTGTAAAATTGTCTGTACTCTGTCAGCAGTGCAGTAAACTACAGGTCATGTAATTAATTTACTCTTCCCAGGTGTCACTGTGTTAAACTTGTGTTAATTAAATATTTTTAATAGTAAACTGGTTGAGTAGTTTTTGTGACTGGTTAAAAAACAATGTCTGTATAACTACCTTACAGTGTGAACGCTAATAACATTATTTCATTGATCTTCACAAAAATTGCCACTACCTTTATGAGTGTTAGTTAGTTTGTTATTAATGTATTGAATTTTACCGATATGTTTCAACTTTTCATCTGTGATGCTTATTTCTGCATTGTATATTATTTTGAATCTTTACAGTGTTATTTTGATGTCAAAAACCTATTTATAAAATAAAAATATCTGTTCTTGTGTATGACTTTCAGTTATCCTAAGAGTAAGTTGATACATGTACAGTAGACACTCACATAACACAGAAGTTATGTTACTGACAAGCACATTTCTTTAAACACTCAGGCTGTCTTCCACAGAGATAGTGACCAAAAAGAAAAAATGCATTCATCACTCATTCAATAAACAGCCTGTCTTGGAAGTGTGTAAACATCACAGTTCAAATGTTCCTCCAACCAACATCCCCCATCCCTCCCTCAGAGTACAGGTACTGTACTTTGCACCTCCAAGACTCAAAGTCTGGCTAACTGGTTTCCCTGAATCCCTTCATAAATGTTACTTTTCTCACACTCCAACACCACATCAGGTCATAAAAATCACTCTTCTCCATTTGTCCTGATCCGATGAACTTGAGGAAAATATGTTTACATTCCTAGCACCTCTCAAAAAGCCATACAAGACTACTAGGCCAAGGTGGATGGCTGGTATTGTTAGGCTGATGTGACTGTTGTGTTGATGCAGGGTTGTCAGTAAGCATTATAATAATTATAATCATGGGGTGTCAGTAAGCAATGGTTGTGCTAGTTTTTAGATATTCTGTAATGGCGTGTCCTGTTTTACCCAACAGCTTTTTATATAGTAGATGATAAGGCACAGTAAATGCTTGCTGCAGTGCATACTTGTGTTATGGTCTATTTCAGTGTAAATGACTGAAGCTTTATCAATCGTATGCAGCATCTTGCGTATATTTTCAGGTTTTCTCTATTTAGGTTCAGGTTCTTTGTCCTTTTCCACAATCTCCCTTTCATATCAGAATTGAGCTCTAACATTTCTGCATTTTTTTTTCAAGTCATTTTTGTCTTGCACATTTTCAAAGCTCCAACCTGGCAATGTCTTAGTCAGATTCACAGTTTCCTTGAGCTGATTCTATTGAGGAAAAAACCTACAAAACCATTCACAACAGTAGACGTTATTCTTTCCCAGCCTTCATTTCTTGTTGAACATGGAGCTTCGTTCCATGCATATTTGGGTTTTGTAGCTGACACTCAAGTGTCAGAGCCATCACTGCATAGATGAGTTTCTGCATCGCAGTGTATCTGTAGTGCCACTTGCATGTATTAATTACTTTTCAATCCAGTGTTTGTATTAACCCTTTGACAGTTTCGGTCTTATATATATACGTCTTACGCGCCACTGTTTCTGACGTACGTATTTATACGCGTAAATTCTAGTGGCTTCAAATCAAGCGGGAGAAAGCTGGTAGGCCTACATGAGAGAGAATGAGTCTGAGCGGTGGGTATGCACCCTGTGAAAAAAATCTGGGACTCGGTGGTGCATTGTGGGAACACCATCTTGGTAGTCCATTTTCACCATGCCTCGCAGTAAGAAGTACCGCACTCCTCGGTGGATTGGAGGTCTTTTGTTCCCAAGTGATAGCTCTAACAGCAATGGAAGTGTCAGTGAAAGTGAATTCCATGGTTTTCAAGTGGGTGTGACTGAAAAAAGTGCCCAGGATAACATAATTAGTGATGAAAACCCAGTGACCCACGACCTTCCACCTCTGGTGTTGGGCCAGCTCGTTCACGTTCACCTATACCAGGATGAAAGAGGAAACTATTTGCCCATGTACAAGACTCAGATGTGAGCAGTGAAAGTGATAGTCATAGTAATTTCAAAGTTACTGAAAGCAGTTCTAGTTGTGACAGTGAGGGTGAATATTCCCCAGTGAAGCGGCAGTATATACGACATAGCATGCGGTCTGGTAGTGTGTCATATACATGTACTGTTAGAACATAACATAAGAAAGGAGGAACACTGCAGCAGGCCTGTTGGCCTATACTTGGCAGGTCCTTTACAATCCATCTCACTACCAAAACATTTGCCCAACCCAATTTTCAATGCCACCCAAGAAATAAGCTCTGATAACTCTATCTACTCTCATATGCAAGTCCCACTCAAATCCAACCCCCTGTTTCAAGGGGAAGGAGTAAATATCGGAGCACATCCCATGGCCCTATACCACGACCTGATAGTGAAGATGACGATATTGTTACGATGGGTATGAATGATGTGAGTGAGGCAGCAGGTGGTGGTGGTGATAGTGATGGTGGCATGAGTCATGTGGCACCGGCAGCGGGCCATGCTACTACCCACGCTGCTGACTCTGCACAACCAGCCTCACCCAACCCCACACTCCCACAACCTGCACAACCACAATCATATTTCAATATCCAGAACCCACCAGCAGACCGCATCTGGGATTGGCAGGAAGGTGACGAGTTTGTTCCCAGTCCCCATGACTGATGAAACACAAAGTGGAATATGGCCATCGTGTACACTTAGGAACAATGCTACTGAACTGGAATGCTTTCAGTTATTCTTCGATGAACCTCTGATGGACATTATTGTCAGGGAAATCAATACATACTATGAATACACCATGGCAAATACAATTCTCTCGCCAAGATCACGGCTACACCAGTGGAAGGACACAACTGTGGCAGAGATGTACCTGTTTTTTGCCACAATAATGCTTATGCCACATGTGTATAAGCACACTGTCACCACATACTGGTCAACAGAATGCCTGATTTCAACCCCAGGTTTTAGTGACATTATAGGTGTGAATCATTTCTTGATACTGTTACGTATGTTTCACTTTTCAGACAAAACAAGGCCTGACAGAAGCGACAGGTTATATAAGATCAGAAATGAGTTTATGTACCTGAAACTAAAGTGTTACATGTATTTTTATCCCTTCAGGAAGCTTGTTATTGACGAGTCTTTGATTTTATTCAAAGGAAGACTCTCATTCAAGCAATACGTACCAAGCAAGAGGAAACGCTTTGGTATAAAGTTATTTGTACTGTGTGACTGCAAAAGTGGTCTTGTTTTGGATATCATTGTGTACACTGGCAGTAATACATTGAGAGATACGTACCAGGAAGTTATTGGGTATCTCTCGTGATGTGGTTCGAACAATGATGGAACCATATCTTGGTAAGGGGCATATATTATTTACTGATAACTGGTACACAAGCCCCATACTCAGTGATTTCTTGCGAGTGAACATGACAGACGTGTGTGGCACAGTGCGTGGTAATCGTAAACATATGCCAAGGTTTGACGCTGGCACTCGCAGAGGTGAGGTGGAAGCTTTTGTTGCCTATTACAACCCAGGAGTCCCAAAGGCCTGTTATCCTGGGTGTAAAGGGAGCAAAATAAACACAGCAGATAGGGTGGAATGGCGATGTATGTAAGAGAAAATTTAAATTGTTGTCTTAGACTTGATATAAGATTAGAAACATCGAACACAGAATCTGTTTGGCTACAGTTTCTCGAGGGACGTGACAAGTTGATTTTGGGTGTGATTTATAGGCCCCCAAACAGTAAGCTGTTATGGGATGAAATTCATAAGGCATCTAGATATGAAAATGGTGTGATAATAGGAGATTTTAACTTTAGACAAATTGATTGGAACAATATGACAGGAAATCTTGAGTCTAGTGACTTTCTTGATACGGTTCAGGATTGCTTTTTAGAACAGGTTGTGACAGAACCAACTAGAGGAAACAATCTGCTTGACTTGGTTCTTGCCAACAAAGATTCACTAATTAATAATCTTGAGGTTAATAATGAGCTTGGGAAAAGTGATCACAAATCACTTTGTTTCAATATATCATGGAATTACCCAGATAACTGCAATCAAATCTCTGTCCCAGGCTTTCGCTTGGCCGACTTCATGGGACTGAAAAATTACCTGGGTGGGCTAAATTGGGATGTCCTATGGGTCAGGTAGGTGATCTTGGTTGCCAATATGACGTTTTTCAGAGCATAGTTCTAGCTGCCCAGACAACTTTTGTTCCGAGTAGGGAAATTAGATATAACAAAAATGATCCCAAATGGATGAACAATAGATTAAAACATCTCATTGGTCAAAAGAAAGGCATATATAGGTGTATCAAAAGAGGGGATGGGCAGTTAAGAAATCAGTATATTCAATTAAAGAGAGAAATAAAGAGAGGAATAAGAAAAGCAAAAAGGGATTATGAGGCTAAGGTTGCAAGGGATTCAAAGACTAACCCAAAAGGGTTCTTTCAGGTATACAGAAGTAAGATTAGGGACAAGATTGGCCCACTTAAAAGTAACTCTGGTCAGATCACTGACAGTGATAAGGATATGTGTGAAATTCTCAATACCTACTTCCTCTCAGTTTTCACCCAGGAAAATAACAATATTCCTGAAATAATAGATTATGTAGAACAGGATAATAAACTATGCACGATTGCGGTAACTAGTGACATGGTCTTCAGACAAATAGAGAAACTAAAACCAAACAAATCCCCAGGCCCTGATGAACTGTTTGCAAGGGTGTTAAAGGAATGTAAAGAGGAACTTAGCATACCTTTGGCTAATCTATTTAACATATCACTACAAAGTGGCATAGTGCCTGATAAGTGGAGAATGGCAAATGTAATACCTATTTACAAGGCAGGTGACAGGTCCTTGGCTTCGAACTGTAGACCAATAAGCCTTACCTCCATAGTGGGAAAATTTATGGAATCAATAATTGCTGAAGCAATTCGTAGCCATCTTGATAGGCACAGATTGATTAATGAATCTCAACACGGTTTTACAAAGGGGCGTTCCTGTCTTACGAATTTACTAACTTTTTTCACTAAGGTGTTTGAGGAGGTAGATCATGGTAATGAATATGATATTGTGTATATGGACTTCAGTAAGGCTTTCGATAGAGTTCCACATCAGAGGCTATTGAGGAACTTAAGGCACACGGAATAGGAGAAATTTTTTCTTGGGTAGAGGCATGGCTGACAAATAGGCAGCAGAGATGTGGAAAAAGACACTTATGTACAGTTTGTGACTTGTGACGTGCCCCCATTCTGAGGAGAAATCAGAATGGGGGCACGTCACAAGCGGTGTTCCTCAGGGGTCAGCATTGGGCCCGTTGTTGTTCACAATTTACATAAACGAAACAGATGAGGGAATAAATAGCAACATAA